CGCATGCCCCATGAGCTGCTGCTGTGACAGCCCGCAGCCAGCCACCTCTGTGGGGTCACCGTGCAGGATGCCGCATTGCCCTCCAGCCTGGAGAAGCCTGAGAGATGGGTCTGGTGCCTCTTCTCTGCAGCTACCGTGCCAATGACGTCCACAGTGAGAGAATTGTACCCTAGCTATTAAAGAGAAGCAGTGACTGTGGTGTGTCTTTTTTACTCGGGAAGGGGATTCCTCCACACATGTTGTTGTCACGTTTGTAAAGTGGGGAAGACAACATTCTGGGTCTTTGGGTCAGTTTGAGAGGGCCAGGCAGTTCTGTGCTTGAGCTCCAAGCTCTCATCCAGAGAGGTTATTAGGCAATAGGCAGGGGACCACAGCTGCCATCAAGGGAGCTGCTTCCAGCTCACTGCCAAGCATGCATTAAAAGACCTACCTAAATGAGTGCCAGTGCATGACTTTTCTGTTTTTCAGGTGTGTAAAGACGAACAAAGAAAGTCTTATATGGCTCTACTGGCACCTCCAGCTTTGCCTTTTGTATCCATCGTTAATTCTGGGCATAGCTGCAGTTCCTGATCTTTGAAGTGGTTTGTGAACCACCCTCAGTTTTCCTCCCCGTTCTTTCTATTTTATTTTTTTTCAGACATGCAGTGATGCATGCTAATGCAAAGGAAAAAAGTCCAAAGTCTCAGGAAAGGCTTTGATGAGCACATTTCAGGGATTTGGACGGGGTTTGCTCTCTCCTGTAGTCTGTCCCGCTCACAGATGGGGAGTGGAATGCATCTCTACGGCTCTTCATACTGGTAACTCTGGTCAAGCTGATGAAACAATCAGTGAGACATGCCACTTATCGTGCCCTCTGAGGAGGGCATATCAAGATGACACTGTTCCCATCAGAAAAAAAGGTGGCTATGTCACTGTGTGACCATGGAAGGAGGAGTTTAACTTGTATTTAAACATTTCTCAAAAATGCCACTTCGAGCACGTGTGCATATTGGGTGTTCACAGGGGTGTTTGTTCCTTCATTGCCAGCTGCCACCCTGGTCCAGTGCCCACTATTTGGGCAGGAACGGGATGCAGCATGGTGTGCGTAGTGTTAGGCTGCTTAGTGCAGTGCATGCTTGCCAGGGGATGGATGCTGAGCTGCTCTGCAGAGCCTCTGGAGGCGCAAGCAGGTGTGTTTGTGTGACCAGTCTGGGAAAACTGCTGCTGGCCTCCCCAAATGAGTGGCTGAGCAGATCTGCAGACCATTGGTACGAGCACAGTTCCACGAAATCATTAAAGGAGTTCAGTCAATGAATGTGCTTGCTATGCAGCCTTAGTTGTCCTCAGGGATGCTTGCAGTTGCACAGCAAAATTTAAATAAAGGCAAGTTATTCTTAGCATTTTTTGAAGTCCCTAATTCTATGGAAATGTGAGCAGAGTCAATGTTACTTTAAATGCCAGTGTGACAAGCTGAATTTCTAACAGAGCTAGGTACTAGTAAAATCTTGTAAAAGAGTTGCTGTGAAAGAGCATGTGTTCTGGCTTCCTGACCTGCCCTGTGCAGCTTTGAATAAAGGGACCTTTGTCCCAGGGGGATTTTTTTGGTACTGAATTACGTACATCTTAATTTTCAGGTCATTGGGATAAGGGAGAGCCTGAACAGCGTTAGGCTGTATCAAGTTCCCGCTGGCTGTTTTGGGAAGAGAGCCCCAAGGGGCTTGCACCTCGAGGAGGATGCAGCGCTATGGGCTCCCGCAGCATGAAGTGCACTGGCCCGTGACCTGCCAGACTGTCTGGGGGCCATCGTCACAGCTTGTCACACCGCACGTGACTGCCAACATCCAACCTTTCATGAGCACTTTGGGCCAGTGGAGTTTCCCCACCCTCCTGCGCAGCCAGCACTTACGGAGTACCTCTGAAAAGGTCACTGCACAGCAAAGGACAAAAACGCTTCTAGCATTTTTAGAATAAATGGTGAGCATTGAATGCATAGAGATGCTGCATTTTGAAGCTGCCAGCAAAGAGTGTTAAACGAGCAGAGCAGCGTCAGCTACAAAGTACAAGGTCTCCAGGTTTCTGCTGGAGCCCTACCAAGGATTTACCCCATCCCTAGTCTTGCAGCGACAGCACTGGTCACATCTGTGAATTACAAATTTGTCTTCCCCATCTATGAACACCTGCGTGGTGATGAAGGCAGCTCCATTTAAATTATTTTCTGGCAATACCTTTACACACACATATATATGTATGTATGTAAATGTCAGGGGATGGTGAAGCCTCTGCAAGCGCAGCCTGTGCTGGGGCTGAGAGGAGCGATCAGGCTTGCCTTGCCCTGCCTGGCAGCAGCGTGGCTGTTTGAGGAGCACAGGCTGGCCCTGTGGTGGCCCTATCCACTGATCTAAACAGTGAACCCCCTTGTAAAATGTGGATTTTATGTATTTATTTCTCTATTTTTAGGTCTTTGGTGTTTTGGGTGGGATCACAACACACACACAACACCCATCCAGTCTCTGGGTGCTTACCATCACCACACTGGGCCTCCCCAGCCACCAGGAGGGTTGGCATCAGCTCAGGCCTGTTGCTGTCATCAAAAGCTCTGTTTTCTTGTTGTTTGGTGTTCACACACTACATGGCTGCACAGAGCTGCCAGCAAGTGCCTCGCACCAGAGGAGGAAACAACATGAGGGGTGCAGCGAGGACATGCTGTAGGCACCAGCAAGAGCCTGGAGCCGTGCTGGAACGGTGGTGCTCTGTCCAGTGGCGCTCTGTCTGGGTGTACAATGAGGCTTGGAGGAAAAGTCCAGGATGGGAACAAACCGTAATGTGCCCCAACTGCTCCATTTACTCTTTGTTATTGTTCAGCCCTGGAAGGATTCTGGCAAGGGTGAATAAAAGTTCTCAAGTCTGTATCTCTGCAAGCAGCAGTGTGCTGTTTTCTCCTACTTTCATCCTGTATAAAAGCAGAGCAGGGTGCTGTATAATAATGCAGAACATTTCTTGAGAATGAGAAAGGAGGTGAGAAAGGCAGCTGGCAGTGTGCTAAGCCTGTCTGTTGTGAGGTGCAAGCTAAAAAAACAAAACAAACAAACAAACAAAAAAACACGAGAAAGAAAAGCCTGTGCTTGGGAATTCTTTTAAGTTCACCTCGTGTGTCCTGTACTGCTTGTTCTGTCCTACGGAAAGCATTCTCCATGCTGAATTCTGTGCTTAATTTTCCCTTGATGCTTAATGAACCATACTCTGATAGCAATAAAAGCTATAGGAAGGTATTCATTAATTAGTTATCAATGCTGGCTAAAGAAAGACCTGTACTTCATGCCTCAGAGGGTATCTGACATATTCATCAATACAGTTTGATTCACAAGCCTTATGTATTACTACATACCTGCCCACCTTAACCAGAAAGTATTTGGGAAGCTTCTAACAAGACCTCTGCTGTCCAAGGAAAGGTTTGTAGCTGTGGGGGTAAATAGAAGGGAAATGGGCTTCTAAGCATTTTAATTGGCTGGAAAGTTTCCAAATGACATAGCAGAAATCAACAGGATTTACTTTGGTGCTGAAAACCTTTGATTTATTAAACAGTCAAAAGTCAGATTAGTTTGTTGGTCTGTACAATTTCTGAGACCTTTATAAATATTCTGATATTGGTGCAGTTATTGCAACACTGAAGGATGCTGACTCAGAAGGTTATTGCGACCCCTCTAATGATATGAGAAATACTTAAGTGTAAAGTGAACTGCTATCCAAGCACTTCCATTAGATTCCCCAGATGTATTAAGAAATACACATGAACTTGCAAATAAGACTACCTGAGTGATAGAAGCACCTTTCAGGTCCTGTGTCTTGGAATTTCTTCAAGAGCAGCACCTTCTGCAGTTGTGGATCAGTTTGTTGTGCCAGCCTTTGAAATTGTCTATTTCTTGTTACATACATGCCTCATTCTTCCTGACTCCCTGTGATATCAGAAAGAAGACAGTGTTCCTGCGGAGAAATTCATTTTATGCAAGAGTAACTGGTTTAGCAAACATCTTGTTCAAAAACAAGCTTGAAAGTGTTTTCACCAACCACTCCAACTGTGTTAAAAACAAAAACCCTCAAAGGTCATAACACTGCTTTAAAAAACAAACAAACAAGTAAGATTTACCTGAATTTTTCTGAAGGGAAGTAGCACCTTCCAGGAAATGCTACTGCAGGTGTGCTGCCAGCATCTCTTTTTTTCTTTGATGGTATTATTGTTGATTCAATAGCAACCATAATTACAAGCTCTAATGAACAATATATTCTACCAGAAACAATTTTTTAAAAATAATTGTACAGGCTTTTACAATTATTTTTTTTTGCTAAGTATTTCTTGTTAAAGACTGGCATAAAGAATAGGCAATCACTTGAGATGCCTTTTAAGTGGCCTGTTTTGGAGGTTATTTGGCTGATGGCACTGATGTGAAATAAAGAGACTCCCACTAGCTCTGCTGAGGAGGAAACGGGATTTCACACTAGCAGTGATTTCCACATTCAGCAGCCACATGAGTCTGGAGGAACAGAGCCTGGACCACTGGAGCTCAGCAAGAAAAGCAGTCACCCTGGACAAGCAACTGGTGGCTGCGAAGCTGAGTGTCACACTTGTTATTTTCAGCAGTCTGCAAGGGTCAGGTGCAACCACCTAACACAAAAGCAGTGAAGGTGGTAAAGCTGAGCATGTAAGTGAGAGTAACTGGTGTACTAGAGAACCTCTGGAGTACATACTGATGTTTAAATGACCACTGCCAGGGACAGACCCTTGTCTTGTACTGCTTGAATTCGTTCTTTGGCATGACAATGCTTTACAGGGTTGACGTATGAGCAGGAGATACTGGCGGACAAATTCAGTGTGATCGAGGAACTCTGTGGAAGTCTTTTAAGTAAGACCCAGCCAATTGAGTGTGTGTCCTGCAGTGGCCACTGACAGAGACTGGCAAACCATAGGAAGCTCCAGACTGAACGTATTTGCATGTATTATGAAGAAAAATTAAGAGAACCATATAGTATTTAAAGACTGCTTTTATGGTTTATTTAAATGCTTACACAACTGCCTATTTGAGACATGAATTGTGCTATTATACATAGTTTAGTCTCCTCAGCATTAATACATTTTTTGAAGCAAGCTACCAAACCAGCCTTCATCCCCTTATATTCAGATACCTTAGCTGTCTTCTGCTGTAAAATCGGGAAGGTTAAAGATGGGCATTCAAATGTTTTTATAAAAATTAATCCTGACATTACCCAGACACTTACTCATGGTCCCTTGCCAAGAGGGGATTCCAAGAGGGAGCTCATCCAGCTGAAAAATGTGAATAATCTCTGTACAAAAGCAGGAATGCTTCCAGAATCCAAAGGCTTTCCAGACATCCTTTGGCCAGCCTCCATTTGGGGAGGGAGATCCAGGCAATGGACCGTTACCCAGCAATGCTGTGGCAGAAGCAAGAATCCCTGCAAGTGGTTCAGCCAGCAGTAGGGCATCGAAAATGATTTGCAGGGGACATCCTAAAGTTTACCTCTGGAGCACACAGGTAGCCAGAAGGCAACGCACCATGTAGCTACAGTGGCTCCATGCTCGAGTGCAGTCACACTCTGCCAGCTCAGAATAGTTCAAAGTGTTGATCGTAGATTCATAAAATTATTCAGGTTGGAAAAGACTGGTAAAATCATCATGTACAACTGTTTACCTAGCACCACATCTACGTATCTTCTGACTACCGTCAGGGATGGTGACCCAACCACTTACTTGGGCAGCCTGTGGATCACATCTGACCCCAAAATAGGACAAAATCCTTCAAGGCTTTATTGGCTCAAATACTGCCCTGCTTCTTGTTGGTTATATACTGTATGGCATCTCAAAAGTGGTAAAACCCCAGCATCATGGAGGCCTGCCACGAGCAGTGCTATGCACTTTGCCTCACCTGACAGACATGCCTGTGTGCCCACATTTCAATTTTGCAAGTGCGACACAGAGCTCAAACTACAAACACATAAAAATTACCTGCTTAGTCAATTAATTATATTGCTGGCAAATACACCACAATAAAAAGTAAATCAAGTCAAACACAGCAGCACAAAAAATTATTTTCAGATGTTTCAAAACTCTAATTCACTGACGTCTTCACATGAGATCTCACCGTAGGGTCTGTAAAGTTTAGTTTTGAACATAAGTCGGGGTGATAAAGCTCTTTGGCAATTTTATCAGGTTTTGAGATGAGCTACTTCTCATTTTACAGTAAGGGACAGCTAAGTGGACCTGTCATTCTAAGATACTGTGTCATACTGGAAGACTAGGAAGGCAACAAGTCAGCCACAAGTTCCTGGATTTGCAGCATGCTCCTCCAAAAACACTAGATGTCAATGAAAATAGAAAATCAAAGTTTCTTCTTACAAGGATGCTGCAAGTTTAATTATTTTTCTTTAAGAAAGGAGAGGAGTCCTCCCACACAAGGTCTGCTATTTCACAACAACATGAAAATTTATTATAAAAGAACAGATTAAAAAAAGTACAGTTTAATGCGTTTACCTGATCACATTAGCTTTTAATTAATCTCCGTACTCACATAGCTGCTTTATTCCTACATGCTGTAGGATTTTCAGATGCGTTGTAGGAAACACACAGAAAATGTATGTTAAAAAAAAAATCTAGTTTTTAACAGAGTGGTAGAAATGCAAGAAAGATGAAACAATCAGCCAGAATGCTACCGATAAGGCAAGACACCAACAAGAATATACTGAAGTACAAAATATTGTATTTTATTAATGTTTTAGTGAGATTATTTAGTATCCCTCGATGCCTTCAGTCCCCCAATATCAAAATGGTTGTTAAAAAAAAAAAAAAGTGGCATGTCCTAAAGCTTTTTAAAAATGTCATACTGTTTGAATTCTTCAAAAATCAAGAGCTACAAATATGACCATTAAATAAAGAACTTTTAACTTGTTAAAGGAATCAATCCAATCACTCATGTTTCCATGTTCCTGTTTACCTTGGATGCTCAAGTTGCAAGTGACACATTGACAGACATTTGGCAATTTTCTTTTCAGCACAGAGAGGTGTAACTAGACATTTCTTCATTAGCTGAGTACTGTTTCACATAAAGCCAGGTGCAGAAAGCTTTTTATGTTTCCTTTGGTCTGACAATGAATGTTTGGTTTGTGATCTTCAACCGTGTTCACAGTTCATCTTGATAAATGACCAATGGGACTGTGTATTAGGATTTTGTTTTCTGTTTAGCAAAACACAAGACCAAGATGCTTAAGAGTAACTACTAGGAACACAAACTCCTTAAAACTGCTGAGTATCATCACACAGGGTATCTTGGTTATATAGAACAAAACAAAACAAAAAACAAACAAACAAAAAAAACCCTTTGCAAATTGTTTTTGCATTAACAGAAAGCAGTCGCTCTGTGACTTAAATGCCAGGAAACATCAATCATCTGTCTCTCCAGAGTAGTATGGATGTGCTGAAGCCCTGACCCAGCTTCGATATGGTAGAACAACATTTATCAGCAGAAGTGCTCCAAAATGTAGAAACCCAGTGTTCTGAAAGCTGGTAGTTCACATGCATCTTTAACAAAGAAAACAAAAGACGCTGCAAATACTCTTAGATAACAAATGGCATCAAAGAGGAAGAAATTAAACAAGATGTACGCTGTTCTCTCAAAGAACAAAGATCACTGAATTTCTGCTTTACAAAGTGTGCAGTGCTATTTTTTAATTAAATTTATGCTATTTTTTTTTACTTTATGTAGAAAGGTACATTTATGACACTACTTTAAACAAAAGGATTGGATTTGTTTACTACACTTTACATACAAACGTAAATAAATATGGCAAACAAGGATCATTCCTGACTCCTCTGATGTAAGAAACAATCCATAATTGCAAGGGAAAGTAAGTGTACAGAGTAGAAAATTAAAGCCTGAAGAGAAGAGTACCAGAAAAGAGCAACATGCTTATGCAGTAAAATGGATCAGACTGACTATTGGCATGTCTGGGAACAGCAAGAGACTACCTTAAACATTAAAAAAATGCCATCACAAATTATCTCTCTCTCATTCAAAATAACAAAACAGACAAAGACAAGCTCTTTTCAGACTTTTGTGTATATGGAATTTTAAGATAGGAAATACAAATTGCTTAAGATACTGCTAAGAATAGCACAAACAAGAAACAGTACTTCACTTACCACTTAATACAAGTTTCTTCTACAGAAAAAAAAAAAAAAAAAAAATCAGTGAAACATCCAGATCTTGCTGTATTCCAAGTATATATACAACTGGTAGTCCAAAAGTTAATTGCCTTGGATTTAATTTAAGCACCTTCATTACACAGTGTTCTTTACTACAAAACAGGCAAACATACATTCAGAACCCTAAAACTATTTCATAATTAGCATATTTTAAAGCATTTTATGTCAGACAGGTGCATCCAAAGTTGTTTTTCTTCTAAAGATATGCAATCTGCAGTAAACAGCTCTTTGCATTACTGTTCACACATAATGAGCAACTTGATTTTTGCAGGTTATTTAAATGCTTTCACTTTTACAAAATACTTCAGAGAAGAAAAAAAAAAAAAGGAAATTTGCACTTCAGTTTTTCAATCTTGAAACGTGTTAATTCATGAGATCACTCTCACTCAATCCTGACCCCTCTGCCACGCAAAGGAACGTAGTTTCAGGGGCTGTATCCCCGTAGGCCCCAGGCTTGCATGTACGTAACAGCAATGTTTCACACATCTACGGACTGTGTAGTGCAGACTTCTGCGGACCACAAAGTTTTTCACTAACACTTGTTTAAGCCTCACAACACCCCTGTGAGGTAGGTATGGTATTATCCCCAATTTAAAGAACCAAGACTTTTGCGTGCGGCATGACCACACACAAGTGTTCACGGATCTACGAGAGCAGCTTCTTCGCTTGAGCAAAATAGTGTTAATGTTCCTGCAGTGCTTCAGAGAGTTAAGAGTTTGTACTGGCACTCTCATTCAGGCGGGAGGGTGGAAACGGTTAAAGCAAAGTGCTAGGTAGGTTGCTGCTCTGCCACCTCAGGCAGGTCGTTTTGGAATGTTTGTACAGGTGGCTGGACTGGCTGAATCGTTTGCCACACTTCAGACAGGCGTAAGGCTTTTCTCCTGTGTGCACACGGATGTGTTTCTTACAGTCTGTTAGGGTCAAAAAAGTCTTGCAGCAGATCTTGCATGCGTATTTGCGTGCACCTTCTACAACCAAGACGTTGTGCTCGGATAAGGCTTTCTTACATTTTGAAAGAACATCTGCAGATGCCCTTGTCAGCTGCGGTGGACCAGGTTGTGAAGAATGCCCATTATCGAAAGAAGTGGTCCCATTTATGATCAGCTGGGAACCGGATGAGTTATCCTGCAGCTGGGAGCTCCTGACAGAGGTCACAACAGGCATTTTGGGGGCTATGCGGCGGTAGCCAGGAAAGCTGCTGGCTCCCCCTCTTGCAGAGCCTATCATTGCTCTTGAAAGGGAGTGGAGGCCCAAGCCCAACCGTGGAAAGTCCATGCCAAACTGCTCTGCAGCCCGATACCCCGAAGTCTGCACACAGGGAAGACCCATCACATCCTGCATTGGTCTAACAAAATGAGAGTCTGCAGGCTCACTGAAAGGATTTTCAACATGAGAGACCGTGGCAGAAGAATGACCACTAGCAGGCCCCGATTCTGGACTCATCAGGTAAGAGGCTTCGCTGTCCATTCTGCAGTCACTTGTTGTATTTGGAATGTTGTCATCATTATTTTGACTAGCACCATAGCTGCCACCTCTGCTTTTATTCAGGAAATTTGAGATACTGAAAGATGACTTGTGTTCCAGGTTATTTGACACCTCCATGATATGGATATCTCCCACCCTATCAGTACTGGACTGAGGATCAGAAAAGCTACGATCACTGCTCTCAGGACTTAGCTCTATCTTCTCTGCGCTGACAACTCCTCCTTCCACTTCAACAGACTCGCTGCCTTCTGCTTGGGACGTGACATCGCTCACTTCATCCTGAGGCTCTGGGGAGCTCAAGGGCTCAGATTTAACCACCACCCGCATGTGCTCCTTCTCGTTTAAAGTGACCTCTGGATTGTCACATGGGAAGTTGTTCTTCTCAGATGCAGCCTCCTGGTCGAAGCTGGTTTCCACTTGTGTTGCCTGGGATGCCATGGACATCTGTGGAATGTTTCCTCCACTGTTGTCAGACTGGCTGGGCACTTGAGTATCTTCCTGAGCACTGAAAGACTGATCAAACATAATAGTACCGTCCTCCTGGTTATCAGTGATGGCATCAGCCTTTGAGTTGTCCACAATCTTCAGTGAATCTGCTGAGAAGAAATCCTCCCGTGAATGCACGACTAACTGCCCACTCTCCGGAGTCACGTCAGAAACAGACTCATCTATGGCAGGCCTCATTCTCTGCCTGGCCCGATCTTCTGAAGACTGCTTACGCTTGTGGAGACGGCGAATCGGAAAAGTAGTGCGCTGCTCTATGTTACTTCTCATTGTGGAGCTCATTGCATTCGGTTGCTCCTCCGAGTTCTGACTGGAATTTAAGGCAGAGCTCACAATACTCAGCCCAAGCTGCTGAAGCATGAAAGACCTCTGCATACGTGCATTCTGCTCTTGAACTCTATCAGTCGGTGGAGACATTGGCAGTGTTCTGGTAGTAAGGTAGTGTTTGCATGCTTTAACAACGGAATTCAAATGTAAGTGAGATGCAGCCAGCAAGACATCCATAACATTGCTCTCTCCAAGCATTAGCGTGGAAGTGTACATCATGTCTAGGAGAGCAGCAAAAGCTTCTGCTGTCACCACTTCACTATCCAGCTGAATCATATTCATGGTTTGATCTCCTTCTGCTACAGTAAAGAGAGCTCGGAAGTGCGTGCTACACGCTGCCAAAACAGAGCGATGGGCTTTGAAATGCCTGTTTCCCACCACAATGACACAGTCGCAAAGTTGGCCATGAAGCCTCTGGTAGTTGAGCTGCTGAAAGATTTGCTCAAAGTGCCCTGGAAAATCCATGATCCTATAAAACAAAGCAGAAGAAACTATAATATTAAAAATGGATGAGGTTCTACTTAGACCACAGCAAGACTGGGTTTAAAAAGGAAGGATGATGGCTAAAATACAGATGAACAATAACTTGATTTTAACTCACCAGTGCCGTACTTTTACTTTTACTGTATCAGAACTAGCAATCTTGCAAAGAGCACAAGGGAAAAAAAAAAAAACAACAAAAAAAAACTGATTCTGTCACGGAGGTGGCCTAGTGCAAAAGCTACCTAAGCATCAGACTTGTCACCGGCAGCCCCACTGCAAACTGAATAATGCAGGTCATTTTACCTCTGTTAATTTCTGTCCGAACTAAAACATACTCCATAGTAAAACATCAGATCCTAGTTACATTACAACAATAAAAACAGAAACAACAAAAACTAATTGTGAAGAATCCACTAAAAGCTTTGTTAAATTGTCTATGGTATTAGATAAACTCCCACTGAAGTCTGAACTTTAATGCCAGTCTCAATTAACCCAGCTCTTTTTGTATAAAATGATGCACTACGCAAGACAACTAGACAAACCCTGGGGTGTTTTTTCAGAAATTTCCAGCAACCAAACATAAATAAAATCTTAGTACTCACCGTAAGACTAATAAGGTATCACCTCTACTTTTTCTCATAAGAAATCAACAAAGTGCAAAATCTGGGGAAAGGAAAGGTTGCTTGGCGGGAAGGGATGTATGTCCATCTACATACAATACTTGTGGTAACATTTGTTTTTCAAAATCAATACCAAAGTGTCATGTGGCACAACTGTAGGGCAGATACAATAAAAGATCACACAGAATTATTATTTTGAAAAAGGGTCACATATGAGTCTACTAGTACAGAAATTTTGTCCTCAAATTTACACGTTCACTTCACCTATCACACAAGTTGTGAACAAACCATATGCTGCATTTGCGTATGAGCAGTCATGTGAATACTGTGCATAAACAGTTTCTGATAGACACATTCTATCAGTAAAGAAAAGTAAAGTCTGCCTGGAAACAATGTTTGTATTTGAAACATCTCCACAGGTGGTTCACTTAACACAATGACTTTGCTCAGAAGCTATGTGGAGGCTGGAGACAGTACCTGTGAAATGCACACACTCATTCAGAGGAAAACTGGTAACGTTTGGTAACATGGATGTTAATTACTTTGCAATTTTGTTCACCTGGATATATATCAACCATTTACCTCCGAATCAGCGCATTGTGCAGCATTCTACATTATATAGTGTACTGCATACCATTAGCTTGGAAGGATCAGCAGAAAAAGCAGCACCTCAGAAACATGAAGCCCATCTCCAGGCATCCTAGGCATGAAGCAGCAGCACATGATCACAAAGGCTGTCTGAGGATGGAGAAGCATGTGGGCCCTGAGCAGCTTGAAGCTCTGTGTTCTCCTCTTCTGCTAGGCAAAAATCAACGCAAGGCAGGGCAGACAGGGGACTACTACTCTTGAGATGCATACTACCGTAAAAAAAATGTTGGCAAAGATCAAGAAGGTGTGCAAGATGCAAAAGGTCACAACCGATGGGCTTACACTTGTGTAACCAGGCAGCTACAGAATGAGAAAGACCTGCGGACTTCCTACGGCAGCTCAGATGCAACTTTGATGCAGAAACATCATCAGTCAGCCTATCAGGAGGCTACTCCAGATGTTAGCATGTGACAGCACGTATCATTTTCTGATTCAGATTTATGAAATCCCTTAGAGGCAATCCGGATTAAGAAAGGACCTGCTCAAGTGTGCAGATTTTGCTGCACACAGGCTGGCACTGGGCTCTATCAAATGAGGGGAATCAGTGATGGATTAGGCCAAGAGATCCAAATCCAAGGCAGAAGAGATGGCAAACTAACAGAAAAGAACGAAGACTAAAACCGTTGGCTGACACAAAATCTGACGACAAGCCCACTGCCCAGCCTGGCAGCTGGGGAAGAGCAGCAAGAGGCAGCTCCCAAGGCAAGGTGCACAATGCACACTTTGCAGGCCGTAGCTTAAGAAACGTTTCACCATGCAGTGCGCTGGGCTCAGACCCCTCTCCTGGTCAAAAGCATATAGATTTACAAAGAACTGGCGTTTTTGTAAACACCAAAAAAAAAAACAAAACTTCTGCTGACAAGAATCAGAGGCAGTTGAGAAGCATTTGCCTCAGCCTTTAATTGGGTCCTGTGTACTTTGAAAGTAGTAACAAATTGTACTCTTTGCCTTCCAGAAATGCTGAGGGTCCAGTTTTTAGTGCATCAAGAATCCTCTAATTTGGCAACACACAACCTATCATGCATGAATGCATGAAATATGCACTGTAATAAGATTCAATTAAGTAATGTTTCACAGTTCCAATCATCTCTACAGATGGAGATATAACAGAAGGGTATGAAATTAAACTTGTTTGTAAGGAACAGAAATACAGGTAATAGGTGATTTCATTTATCTTCCACTACAAATGCATGTTTAGGAGTAAAACTGGACATTTTCAGGAAAACAAAAAAAAATAAATAAGGACAGGCAATCTTTGGAATTGCGCAGTTTTTATTTCTGCACACTTCCTCTAAGAGAAGTGTAACACAAAGGAAAGTGAATAAATCCTCCCCAGTGGTTACAAAACGACCTGGAGCAATAGGACCAGCAGACCCTGAATCTCAGCAACCTAAGGCTGCAGGACAAAAGGATCCCAAGGAGACTGAAGAGCCACAAGTCCCAGCAGGAAGTATTTGTAATTTGGTAGAGGTCCAGGATGCTCTGTGACCAGTGCTGCTACACAGCTGCCTGCCTTTCCAGCTTTTGCATGTCTAGTTAAACAAATGCTTTCCTCTGTTTCACCAACCACAGCACATTTCCTCCTCTGTAAGGACAAGTCCCCTCCATCCAGGCTTCTCTGGAAAGCTGAAAAGGCTCTGAGAAACAATTTCTCGTTTGTCTTTATTTGCTCGGCTCAGATGAGCCAGGTGTTATCTCCGGCATAACACTGTCCTTGGCTTTACAGGACTAAAAAATACGATTTAGGGAGAGGAGGAAAAGCAGACAGGGAGGCCTGGGAGTTGCCACAAGCACCAAAGAAACTCTTTCCTTCTCTACCTTTGGACTACCATCACCGCAGTATGTTCACCCATGAGGGACCTTTACACGGGCCAGCTTTGCTCTCAACTCACTCCCCGCTCAAGAGCAGCAGCTTTAAGGCTATGAAGTTTCACAGACCAGGCTGATCTGCACTGTGAACAGTGATGCAGTCTGCAGGCAAAGACACTGAGAACACCAGGCATCTACTGAAGGAGGACAAAGAAGGGATCTCTTTTTCCTACAGCCTGAACAGTGGTATTAATCACAAGTATTTAAAAAAACACAGCAGTGCTGAACCGTAACTACCACCACCTACAAATGCAGCCAAGGCAGGAGAGCTTCACTGTGCCACATCTGCAACTGAGAACAGAGTCGTTCTACCTGCACACCTGGTCCAGAGGCACACAAAGGGCAAGGCCCAGCCAGCATCAGCTGCAAAGGAGCATCAGGAGCAAAGCCTTACCCAGACAGCTGAGCACTGCCCATTCTCTGCACACTGCCTCAGGTCATTTTACAGTGCTTCAGGCACTATAAAGCAGATCCAATACTGAGAGCTTGTGTGTTGCCCAGAACAAAGCAGCTCCCGGAGGCAGAGCCCTTCAGCAGATTACACAGTAAGGCATTGTAACCCATGCAGTGTAGGCAGGTTAGAAAAACAAATGCAGGACAGGAATCCACATCAGTAGAGAGATGGAGCTGGACGCCAGAAAGGAAGATGTTCCTTTCTGCCCAGGCAGCAACATGTACCTGAGCACGAGGTAATAGGCAAGATCTTCTGGTTTTGATCAGTGGTCAAAAACTGGATTTCTAAATTCAGAAAGGGTTCTGGCTTAAAGGCACCAAGAAACACCTGAAGCCCGTGTGTATCTGGGACAGGACAACCACCAGTTTTGCTTCACGTAATGCTAATTTGGCTCAGTATTTAACATTTACTGCACTGTAAAGACTTAAGTCCTCAAACCAAAATCAAGAAACAGAGCAGCTGATATCTTCTACGTGACTTGCTTGAAAACCAGGAAACTAGATTTGAGTTGTACACTAAACACAATCCACATATGTATTAGGTGAGATAGCAGTTACTTCAGGTCACTAAATACACGCAAAGCATCCAAGTCAATATCAAGAAAATTCCGAATGGCCTCTATCTAGACACAACCCCTCAGTCTTCCCTTTCCCGGCTCAGTGACAGCTCAACTTTCAGGAATAGCTGGCCAAAAAGACTCCCCTGAAAAAGTCCTGTGCTGCACATCCTCACTTCTTCCTTTAGAGCAAGCCAAAGTCTCAAATTCTCTACATGTCTCTATGACCGAGTCCTGCGCAGCACCAAATGCTGTGCAAATGCCTGCTAGAAGGAAGAACAGAGGTGCTTCCAGCTGTGTGGGGTGGGCACTGCCAGGGATGGGGCATCCAAAACTTTTCCAGGCAACCTGTTCCTGTGCCTCACCCTCCTCTCAGTAAAAAACTTCCTCCTAGTCTCTAATCTAAATCTCCCCACTTTTAGGTTACAGCCGTTCCCCCTTGTCTGCCCAAGCAGAAGTTGCTACCTATTTTATAAGCCCCCTTTAGATACTGCAAGGCTGCAAGAAGGTCACCCCAGCGCCTTCTCGTCTCCAGGCTGAACCCCCCCAACCCTGCAGCCTGTCTTTGTAGGAGAGCTGCTCCAAATCACCCCTGTGGCCCTGCTGTGCGCTTGTTCTTACACCTCCCTGTCCTCCTTGTGCCCCAGAGCTGAGCGCAGGCTCCAGGTGGGGTCTCACAGAGCAGAGCAGAGGGGGACAATCCCCTCCCTCACCCTGCTGCCCATGGTGCTGTTGGTGCAGCCCGGGGTACGGGTGGCTTTCTGGGCTGCAGCTCACACGGCTGGCTCCTGGTGAGCTCCTCACCCACCAGCACCCCCAGGGCCTTCTCCTCTGGGCTCCCCCCCCCCCCCCCTCCGCCATGGCCGCCCGCCGCGTGACGTCACCGCCCCCCCCCCCCCCCCCCCCCCCCCCCCCCACCCCAGGCCGCTCACCTGCGGGCCCCTCCCCCGGCCGCGGGCCCCGGCGGAGAGAGAGGAGAGAGAGAGAGAGAGAGAGAGAAGAGAGGAGAGGAGAGGAGAGGAAAGGAGGAGGAGGCGGCAGGGCCGGTGCGGGCAGCGCAGCTGCGGTGCGTGCCGCTCCTCGGCCCCTCGGTCGGGCTCCGCCCCGCCTGCCCCTCCGCTGAGGCGGCCGCGCGGCCCCGGCCGGGCGGAAGTGACGCGCGGCCCCGCCTCACCCCGCCTCACCCCGCCTCTCCCAGCAGCCAATCGGCGGCGCCCTTACTCGGCAGCAAGGCGCGCGGCGGTTGGTTGGTTGGTTGCTGGGCTGGGCGGGCGGGCGACATGGCGGCCGCCACCTGGAGCTACCGCGGAGACCCTGAGGCGGAGCAGCCCGCGCTGCTGGGTGAGGGGGGGGATAGGGGGTGGGGGCGGCGGGGGGGGGCTGGCGGCCTCTGACGGCCTCTGACGGGCTCTCCCCGCCGCCCGCAGTGACCTTCGCCAACGGGCAGCTGCGGCGCCCCGCCGCCCTCCGCTTCCGCCTCTACCTCAGCGCCGCCGCCGCCGGCCCGCGCGGGAGGAGGCGCCGCATCCTGGTAAGCAGCGGGCTCACAGCGGCACCGCGGGCAGCCCCGGCGCCGGGCAGGCAAAGCACGGACGGGAAGGGGTGGGCGAGCCCCGAGCCCCAGCGCTTGGCTTTGTTTTGCAGGTGTCGGACACGGAGCGGCTGTCCTACGTGGGGAGTAACTTCGGCAGCGGCGCGGGGAGGGGCAGCGCGCTCTGCAGGTATGGGAACCGCTCCGGTGCTGCCCTCAAACCTGGCTCAGGATGGGCGGTGTGAACGCAGAGCGTTTCGGCAGCGCGGTGCTGTAGGAGGCAGTGGTGAGGCCACCAGCCTTCACGTGTCCTGGCTGAGGAAGGTGCCCTTGGTAGCCTTGGGACAGATCCCACTGGGCTCCTAAGAAGTGTTTTGTGTCTGAGATCTTCCTTATCCTCTGCACAGCGATCCTCTGCAATGTGCAGAGTGACAAAATGCTTCTGCCTTGTTATACCCGAAGCTATTTCTTTTTTCCTTTGATGCATATTACTGCACTACTAGCCTACAGAGGTCTGAAATGTGCTTGATGTGTGTGTCAGGCTCTTGGTGCGATGTGCCCTGCTCTTTCAATGTGCTTGACTTGTCCTGCACTGTATGCTCAGTTAGCTTCAGGAGTCTCACTACTCTGACTCCTTAAATTATGGGTAGGGTGCGGCAGCAAAGAGCAGAGTTGTATAAACCACTAGGAGGAGGAGGTGCTTCCAGACATCAGTGTTCCAGTGCTCATGGTTTCTGAATAATTTCTTTACAATGAACTACTTGCATCCCTGGCAGACAGTACTTCAGAAGATGCTAAGCTTAGTCTATTCTGTCTGAGAATTGAAACTAGACTAGAGAGCTGACCCTTTGAGTTCAGCAGCCTTAAGATGGCATAGCTGAAACAAGGCTTCAAGGAGCTTTTTCTTCTTGAGTTTGCAGAGAGGAGTTTAGTTTACTGAATACAGATAATGCTCCGTATGTTTTGTGACATGTGCACCAATGTAGCAGTATTTCTATACAGACTTGGCACTTCTACTTCTCAACACTTCACATCAATTGATAGTATTCAGAGAGAGTTTTAAGAGTTTAAGTGGTACCTGCCTGCACCGCTGAAAATCCTGAGCTATGGAAACTAACAGGGCAAGCTAACTGAGATTATCTGTTGGTCATTAGGTTTGCATATGCCTCAGAATCACCAGACATGCAGGCAACAACTAATTACATTGTTTCTTGATTTCCTTTCTAATTTTTCCACCTTTTCCATATAAACTAGTTTGTTTCCTCCCACATCTGCCTCACCTGCATTCATGACAATTTCCTGCAGTGTATCCATTCTCATAGATCTCAGCAGCTGTCAGCCTAAGACTGAATTCGCAGCTGCAGATGTTGGTGTGAAAGCAGGAACCACAGCTGAGCAAACAGTCTGGTTTACTCTGAGTGGGAAAAATCAATGAGTGCTGCCAGATCCTCAGGCAGCACTTGTTTCACCCATTTCCTAGAGCAGAAGGCACTGCTTATCACAGATTCAGCTGCGATGAGGTCCCCTCTCAGCCTCCTCTTCTCCAGGCTGAACAGGTCCAGTGCCCTCAGTTGCTCCTCATACGTCTTCCCCTCTAGGCCCTTCACCATCTTCGTAGCCCTCCTCTGGACACTCTCCAACAGTTTCATGTCCTTTTTGTACTGTGGTGCCCAGAACTGCACACAGTAGTTGAGGTGAGGCTGCACCAGCGCAGAGCAGAGCAGGACAATCACCTCCCTCAACCAACTAGTGATGCCGTGCTTGGTGCACCCCAGGACACGGTTGGCCCTCCTGGCTGCCAGGGCACGCTGCTGGCTCATATTCAACTTGCTGTCAGCCACAACCCCCAGATCCGTCTGTGGGCCTGCTCTGTTAGCAGACAGCCTGTTAGCAGACTTGTAACCAGTCCAATGATGACACAGCCAGTACCAACAAATATCACAGTTCCTGTAGTGGCTCAACCTGTATCCAGACCAGTGAGTACTGTAACAACACGGCCTGTAATACTCAATCAAGATTCCATTATGGATAAAACATCTGGTATGCTGTTTGGTGTGAGACAGAACTCAGGAGTTCCACAGTACCACACTGGGCCATCAGTCCAGCATACATAAAAAAAATCACGTGAAGTATTGTTGTCCAGATACAGTAAATAATTTCTTTCTGGGAGTGGCCAAAACAGAATGTTTGAGTACAACAAGCAAGATCAATGAATCTGAGAAAGGAAAATTGATCCTGTTAGTTAACGACTTCTATTATGGGAAACATGAAGGTGATACCCAGCAGGTACAACAGCAGTAGAAGACTCGTACAACATTTAAGAGCTTCAACTGTCTGAAAGTTCTTAAAAATAACGTAAGGTTTATGAAGCATGTGAAGCATCACTTAGAGCCTGAGAAGCAGAGCAGTGAAATCTGGGAAAGCCACACCACCTGCCAGCACTGCTACCATCAGTTTCCCCGCCCATTCCAGCTGCAGTGCCACACTGAAAGTACACGCACACCTTATGAAACATCTAATATTTGTAAAAGCCGTGGATTATCCTTTGAAACAGAGCAAATTCTTTTGCAACATGAAGGACAATCATAAGCCAGGTGAAATGCTGTGTGTTTGCCTGGTATACAGCTACAGATCCTCAGATACATTTTCTGATGTAGAAACACATTTCAGGACAGTTCATGAGAATACAAAACGTTTGCTGTGCCCATTTTGCCTCAAAGTAATAAAAAATGGAGCACCATGCATGCATCATTATATGAGGCATCAGAAAAAAGGAATATACTGCTGCACTAAGTGCAGACTGCAGCTTTTGGCTTGCAAAGAAAAAATGGATCACAAGACTCGGTATCACTGAATATTTAGAAAACCTAAACAGTTAGGTTTGCCTCCTGGAGCAATGGTTACTATTTGAGCATCTGTTGGATCTCTTCAGTCAGGATATTCTGTTACTGCAAGTACATCCACATTTCAGCTGTCACCTAAAGCTAAAAATACAACCACTAGAAATCATAACATTTAATACAAATAAAAGCAAAATGAAAACCGACAACTACGTCAAAGAAGCAAAATGCATGGACCAACAGCAGCAGCAAAAAAAAAGTTATGAATACAGCACTGCACAATCTAAGGTATTGTTTGGGAGCTCACAAGTGCATTGAGCATTACTCAGAAATAAAAGGTTTTGCAAGCTACTTTCCTACATATTTCCGTTGTAATTTATGCAGATACGATACTAGCTATAGCAAAGCCTGTGTGAATCACATGGTGATTTTTCACAGTGCCTGTCCAAGTAAAAGATTTCGGTTCTACAAGAAGCATTCAGGAGAGCTATGAGGTGTGACTGTACCATGTCTTAACTGCGATTTTCTGACTGATGGTTCTGGCTTAGATAGCATGGCCACACATGAGTGAAAGCCACGCTCACACTTGTCAAGTTATTGTAGAGGACGTTTCTGTAGATTTGCCAACTGCTGAACAAGTGTCCGAGGGAGTTGAAAGTGAGCAGGTCTCCTGTACTGCCTTGGCTCACTAATGTATCATTGTGGAGCAGCAAATTGAACCCAGTCGAGTTTGGGATTATTTTGCAAACAAGAGCATAAGTCTTCAGAGGAAACAAAAGAATGCAATAGAAATCAAACTAAAAAAGTTGCATCAGTTGAAAAGATTTAAGAAAACTCATCATTCTCAGGTACAAAAAATGTTCCCAGTTTGGAACTCCATGATAACAGCTCCAAGATTTCTTTGCATGAGAAAGGAGCACGTTGTGATTCAGATAGTAGCACACAGTTAGGAGACAAAGAACAAAAATATATTTATGCTGAAAGTGAGTTGAAAACTTGCCAAAGTTCAGATGGTGGTGTCTTGACTCACCAGACTAAAGCACAAAACTTGGATGAAACTACACTTTCAGCAATCAGTGCAAAGTAATTAAAACTAACATTGGGTGAAGATGTTAGTTTTGAGCAGTTCCAGAGAAAAAGAAATGAACCTGAATCCGTTAGTTCAGACATTAGTGAACAAGGCAGTATTCATTTGGAGCCTTTGGTTCTATCAGAGGTGCTGGAGCATGAAGCGACTGAAACTCTTCAGAAAGGTAATGTTGCACCTTCATCAAAGAAAGCTGAACGACCCTCTGGGCGAACAGACGAGGCTTCTAAAGAAAGTGGAATGGAAAAAAGCAGAATGGAAACAACTGTAAACAAGACAGATGAAAATGAAACAAGCTGAAATTGTGTTCATTTTATTGTTTATTATAAATAATGGTAGGAACACCATGGACCATTCCGGACAAGCGTGCTCATAGTTGCTCATAGG